AAACGTGAGGGCGTCAAAATCTATGCGGGACCGCGTCTAAATCAGCAACTGACATTTGGCCCGCCCGCGGCGAAGAGCCTGCGCCACGAATATGGGGCACTGGAGTGCTGCATTGAGATTGTGCCCAGTCTGGAGGAAGCCATTAATCACATACATACATACGGCAGCGGTCACACGGATGTCATTGTTACGGAAAATGGTATGAAAATTGAAAATTAATTTTCAATTGCTCGCAATCGAAGCTGAAAAATTATTTCAGCAGCAAACCGGAACAGGGGGAGGCTCCTAAATACCTATAGCTAATGACAATTCAATGTGCGGGCCATAAATTTGTTTTGCCAGAGCTTTGTGTTGCCCGCTATGCAACATAACGAGCTGATGCCATGGGCAGCAGGAACTTTGGGTAGATTTATAGTGGAAAGGCACTTGGCATGGGTCTGGTCAGCAATCAATGAGAAAGACAACAATCGATAGGCATTGCCTGCTGAAAGTATTTGAATGTGTGGAGTGGTCGAGTAGAGCAGATGAAAATGTTGGAAGAACGGATGTGAATATGGGACGTGTGATTAGAGTAGCTAAAATTGATAGAATGAATGAATAGGTGCAGAGATAGATTGATAAAGATTGATGCCTTAGCAGAAGGACAGTTTCGTAGGTAGACATATATATATAATATATTATATGACAGATGGATTGCTGGTTAGGGAGATGCATTGAAGGAAGGCAGCATAATAGCAGAAGTGCGCAGATTTATGAATAGATCAATGGACAGATTGTATGATAGATAGATGGGGTAGTAGGGTAGGGTAGATAGCATAGCTTGTGTATGAGTGAGCTATGGCAATCTACGCTGAACAGATTGTTGCTTCTTCTTACAATTAAACTGACTTTATCTTATCTCTGTTGCCATAATCTTTCAAGGCGTAGCTCATAGATCACAAGTGTTTTTCCTATGTCTCTCAACTTGCTTGTTCTATTTGTTGGGAATATTTTCTCAGCTTTTGTTTAACACAATTGCTTCTTTATAATGTAGAGCAGTCCACAGGTTCATGCTGGGTTTGAGTAGGTTGGCAATGTAAGCCTACAAAACTTGCTAAGCTTTAGTTAGTTTCGTTGCTTTTGGAAGTATCGATTTTGATACTGGTATCTACAAAAGACTCTGTCAAGGCGGACTCTCAAGTTATGCCAAGCATAAAGGCAGCTTACAGACTGCTTTTCTCCCTTATGCTAACAGAAATTACTAAGCCTCAGCAGTAAGAATTTGTCTGAATCTCACTCAATTGAGGCATTTTCTGGCTAAACAAGTTCTTTACTTAATCAAACTATAAATTTAACATTCGTTCACATATATATATTTAATATTTAGTATTCAGTGAAATTATATATTTGCATTGCTTAATCTGCCTAGGCACTTCAGCTCGTATCAAGTTTCGAGTTGCCTAACTCAGTCATGTTGTTCAGTGAGCTGTGTATTAATTGAATTAAAAGCAAAGAGCCAATGTCAGGGCAAGTGCAGTGCATAGGTCGAGTCGCTTGTTGTTGTGACGCCATTGGCAGGGTCTTAGTAAAGGTTGGGATCAGCTTTTGGTTCGTTGTTTGCTGGCTGGCAAAACAAATGTAAATCATTTGGGAAATTAATTTTATTCAGCATTCAGCATGCAGTCGGCACGCCTGCATATTGCATATTAGAATTTGTGCTGTTGCTCTGAATTTCGTACTTTGTTTGGCATTTAACATTTTCCGTTTTCCATTTCGTGCAGATGCCGCGGCACAGCATTTCCTTGGCAGCGTGGACAGCGCCTGTGTGTTCCACAATGCGAGCTCGCGTTTCGCGGACGGCTTCCGGTTCGGCCTGGGCGCCGAGGTGGGCATATCCACGGCCCGGATTCATGCACGCGGCCCAGTCGGCGTCGAGGGTCTGCTGACCACCAAATGGATACTCAACGGAAAGGACCATGCGGCAGCCGACTTTGCCGAGGGTGGACCACGCACCTGGCTGCACGAGCAGCTGCCCATCGATTAGTTCTCTAAGCTCTAAGTTCTTCATATGTAAATTCCTTGTAAATATGTGCAATTGAAAATAAATTTGCCGCAGCGTGCAACATCATAACGGATGGGTAATTATGGTTGCTTGGGCTGATGACAGCTGCCAGTCGCGGCCACATGGGAGAAATTAATTTATGTGGAAATTATTTGAGCGGGCAACTTGTTTAATTAATAAAATGTGTAGGGCTAAAGGGAAAACTGTCAGCGCGTGTCTTCGGCGCAAACTTTGTGTGCAAAGTTTAGCGCACGCCACGCCCACCAGCTGCACGCAAACGCCCGCTGAAGTTGAAGCGGCAGAGCTGTGGCTGCAACTGAAGCAGCAGCAGAAGCTGCAGCAACATTGTTGACAGTGAAAATTAAATTAAAATGACTCGAGCAGCCAAAGCAAGCGCTGATTAAAGTTGCAATTTTCCATAAATACGGCGAGCGCAAAAAATGTTGAAAACAAAATCATAAATTAGCCATAAAACGTGGGCGAGAGAGTGAAAGACAGAGAGAAGGAGAGAGTCAGAAAAAGAGAGAGAGAGCGAGAGAGTCGCTTGGTATGCACGCATCGTCAAGTATTTTAATTTTTATGTGCATTGAAGCAAGTTTTCAGCGCTCAGAGCTCAGCTCTCAGCTCAGTTTTCTGTTTTCAGTTTTCTCTGCCTGGAACTTGGACTAAGTTTATTTTAGTGCCGCACGCCGCATTGCGTGCCAAAGAGCCAACGTGGCAGCCAAAGAGTAACAGCAGCGCCAGAACATGGCCCTGGTGCTTGGCCCTTCAACCGGAACGCGATTTAAGGTGCGCTGCTTCGCCCCTGTCAACGCATCACGAGTCTCCGAGTCTCCGGGTCTCCGAGTCCCCGTAGCACTTTTAGCCAACATTTTTGAAGTTCGAGTTGGGTCAGTTTGCGCCCATTTCAGCCATTTGTAATGCCAAACTCTCGGTTAGCGCCATTTTCATTTTCCGTGGCGAATAATTGCTTGGGCCAAGCGAAAAGTTTGCGCCACGAAACTAGCTAAATAAATGTGGCATGCAGAAATGTTTATGGTATTTTGAAAATATGATTGCCCTAAAGATAACTTAGGAATATTATATGTTTGTATTATATTTTATCTGTAAATAAACTGCTTTGAAGAGTTAATAGTTAGTCTCTTATACTGTATCATATTCGGCAATTTTTCTTATGATCAGCAAGAGATCTAAGAACTTTAGCTTCTGAATAATTCTTTATAGGATTATCTGAGAAATACTTGAATTTCTTAAGCATTTTATATAAATAATAATATTTATTTTCAATTGAAAATTCAGTCAAAGTCTTAGCGCTGTCAAAACTCAAATAGCAGAAAGCTTAAATTCGTATGAAATGGTGGAAAAAGTGTTGAAAACTTTTCAATTGACCCATAATCCATCTAGTTTCTAGGCACTCTCTTGTCTAGATAACAGGCTAGATATTTCAACTGGTTTTTGGGCAACTGCGCACAGACAATGATTCGTCTGTGTATGTATGTATATATGTATCTGGTGGCAGTACCTGCCGCTGGCAACAGTCACGTAGTTTCCAGATAGTTTTGCCAAGCACTTGAGAAAGTTCCCAACTACCTCTGTGTGTGTGTGAACAGCAGCTATAACTACTGTAGTCGTGGCTGCATAGCAGTTGAGTCTGCAGTTATCCAAGTTGAAAAAATATATAGAAACTCTTGCATATCTCTGGCATGTTTTGTCTAATAACTCACTGCCAGCTAGAATTTTACGCTACACTCAATTAAAATAATAAACAGCACGCATATAAATCTCGTAGCTAATATTACGTTAAGATCTAGCGATATGTGCCTGCACTGCCAACCGAGAAATTGTCACACACACAATTGCTTGGGGCCGCACATAATAATTTTATTTAAATTGTACGTCGGCTACACACAATATTATAAAGTACATTATATATGTATATATTTAAAATTATTTAGTTGTTTTTTTTTGTTTTGAAATTTATTTCTTTCTTGGGCCGCACCATCTATGGACCGAGCGAGCAGGCAGTCAAATCATTTTGTCACATCATTGGCACACAATTCGTGATATACAGAAAGGCTGCTCGCTGCTCGATGTGGCCAAGTATGTGGTGCAAGCATGCATTGTTCGGTGCAACGCATTTATTTATATAAAAACTTAAAAATATAACAACAACGTATGCCTATACAAGTCCTGGCGCATCTTCGCCCTCATGCAACTTAGCTGGCAACGACTGCAGCAGGCATAATTTGATGAACATGAAATGATACAAGCTGAAAGTTGCCAAACGACTATTTAATAATGTGGAATACCCTAACTTAATATCAATTTTCGTGTGACATATAATGAGTATTAAACAAAAGATGAGAAGAGTTAGAAGGCAATAGGAAAGTGGAATGGAAAGAGTTTGGATTTTGTTAACTGCTTTGATGAAAACTATACTGGAAAATATATGTAGCTAGATATTTATTATATATAATATATAATAAAAAAGTATATGAAGCATATTATATATAAACTATATTATATATAATATCCCAAGCATTTGCATGGGCATCGCTGCTATATGCATTCAGCATTAAATCTATTATTCATAATCAAATAAATATAATTTATAAATATATTCAAAAAGTCTCTGAAGTTGTTGAAAAAGTTAACAATGTGAGAGCAATATAATAGAACCTAATAAAAAAGAAATGATATCAACTAATTATCAATTGTATAACTCTAAGACTTAGCTAAATTCCCTTGAGTCAACTTCATTCATAGCGCATAGCTCCCAGCTCATTCATGTTTTCGACAAAGAAACTATAGCTAATGTACCCCATTGCAGCTTAGTATGCCAAAATAAATTCTATGCTGTCAGATTCCTCAGTTGCGTCCCTGCTTCGCCCTGCGCCCATGGTCGCGCCTTTGCCGCACGCTCAGAATTCATCAACATGTTACTAGGGTGAAAAATATCCATTGTTCTGAGATGACGGACAGAACTTATTTAAATGCAGATGTCGGCCATATAGCGAATCACTCTGATTGCTGTCGCTGTGGTATATACACGTCGTGAGTGGCGCCTGCCTGCCTGTCTATCGACAATCGCCAGGATATAACGTTTGAGTCGTCTCTTTGCAGTTAGCTAAACTCAATCTTCTGCCAAAATGTGTGACGAAGAGGCATCAGCTCTGGTTGTGGACAATGGATCCGGCATGTGCAAGGCTGGCTTCGCCGGCGACGATGCGCCACGCGCTGTCTTCCCATCCATTGTGGGTCGTCCTCGCCATCAGGGTGTGATGGTGGGCATGGGTCAGAAGGATTGCTATGTGGGCGATGAGGCGCAGAGCAAGCGTGGTATTCTCTCTTTGAAATATCCCATCGAGCATGGCATCATCACCAACTGGGACGATATGGAGAAGGTCTGGCATCACACCTTCTACAATGAGCTGCGCGTGGCTCCTGAGGAGCATCCCGTGCTGCTCACCGAGGCACCACTGAACCCCAAGGCCAATCGCGAGAAGATGACACAGATCATGTTCGAGACCTTCAACTCGCCCGCCATGTATGTGGCCATTCAGGCAGTGCTGTCGCTCTATGCCTCCGGCCGTACCACTGGCATTGTCCTGGACTCCGGCGACGGTGTCTCCCACACTGTGCCCATCTATGAAGGTTATGCCCTGCCCCATGCCATTCTCCGTCTGGATTTGGCTGGTCGCGATCTGACCGACTACCTGATGAAGATCCTCACCGAGCGTGGCTACTCGTTCACCACCACGGCTGAGCGTGAAATTGTGCGCGACATCAAGGAGAAGCTCTGCTACGTCGCTCTCGACTTTGAGCAGGAAATGGCCACCGCTGCCGCCTCCACCTCGCTGGAGAAGTCTTATGAGCTGCCCGATGGCCAGGTCATCACCATTGGCAACGAGCGCTTCCGCACGCCCGAGGCTCTGTTCCAGCCTTCATTCCTGGGCATGGAGTCGTGCGGCATTCACGAAACTGTCTACCAATCGATCATGAAGTGCGATGTCGACATCCGCAAGGATTTGTATGCCAACAATGTGCTGTCCGGCGGTACCACCATGTATCCTGGTAAGTGAACTGAAACTCAAAAGACTTTTCAGACTCAACTTCAACCTATCTCTCTCGATCTGCGTGCTCTTTGCAGGTATTGCTGATCGCATGCAAAAGGAGATCACTGCCCTCGCTCCGTCCACAATTAAGATCAAGATCATTGCACCACCTGAGCGTAAATACTCTGTCTGGATCGGTGGCTCCATTCTGGCCTCTCTGTCCACCTTCCAGCAGATGTGGATCTCCAAGCAGGAGTACGATGAGTCTGGCCCCGGCATTGTGCACCGCAAGTGCTTCTAAGCGTCAACAGCAGCCACCAACAACCACCAACAAGAAAATCAACAACAACAACAACAACAACAAGACCAAGAGCAAAAAAGAACAACAACAAGTGGCGTTTATATATAGCCTATATGAGAAGATCTTATACGCATATCTTATATCTGACATTGGGTATATGTTTAGCTATGACCAGGCTAGCTGCATCTGGGCGCCCACCCGGCGCTGCAGATAAAAGTATCTTTAAAATTACATTTAGTTGAAAAGAGGCGGAGGAAGTAGAAGAAGTTGAAATAGAGGACAAGAGACCCCAGAGAAAACGAGTAGGTAGAGCATATTTTATATTTAGTTACGATCTGGATTTTCATTTGTTTCTAAGTTACGGAGCTGACCAAGAGCCAAACTCAATAAATAAAAGACAATCGGATGTACAACGAAGCAATGTGTATATATCTATATATATTTGTATCTTTATATGTATATATTTATAACTTCAACGAAACTTTGAAATGCGCTGAAACAGTCCCAGTTTGTTGTATGTACGATGGGCCTGGCAAACTTTTTTAATTACGCTAACCAAGGGGAATCCATTGCGATCTTATCCCAAAACGTCAATCAGCAATTTGTGAAACTTTTCAGCTGTCCGTATCTGTATCCGTATCTGTAGCTGTAACTTTGTATCTGTAGTTGGCTGAGTTATTCACGCAGTTTGCTTGGCTGTCAAATTTTTCGGCCCAGCTTCGTCGCTTCTCTCTCACGGAAGTTGCTCAACTTAGACGGATGTGTATAGGTACGTGTGTGTGTGTGTGTGTCTGTGTGTGTGTCTTGTGCTTGTATTGTTAGTCTTGATTTATGCCCGAACTGAGTGACTATATGACCGTGTACATATGTCTTGTGTTGTGTCATGTACCAGCTGCACAGTGCAACTTAATGCTCGTTATGCTGCCGCTGCCGCTGCCGCTGCTGCTGCTTCCTTATATCAATATACAGCAAATATATATATAAAGTTTATATATATATAGTGTGTTGTTGTGATATATGTGCAAGTTGTCCAAAGTGCAAGTAAACTTTGCACTCACTTTGAAACAACAAGCCAAAGACAGTCGGCCAACAACAGCAAGCTGGTCAAAACGTGCTGTAGCTGTCACTCTTGGCCACACATAAACTTTTATGGCTGCCAACTGAACATTTGGCCAGGTGCAAAAATCACTTGCTCGACATGCAGCACAACTTTTTACTAGCGCAATTTTTAATAGCTACAACATTAGAGTGCTTTTACCGAAACACACACAAAAAACATAAATAAAACAAGAAACTAAGTTTATTAGCTAATTGCCGTGTTTTGCTAACGCATCTCTGCTTGGCAGTTCAAGGAGTTTGTTAGAGCGTGAGGATTAAGAGTTGGCAGCTTTGATTGCTTAAGCATTATATATAAATGTTTATCAAGGCAAAGTTTTCAGAATCAATAATAAAATAATAAATCAAGATAAGAAATTTTTTTCAATTATGTTCAGTTGATGCTCAAATAAATGTCGATTGAGTGTTCATTAAATGTCGAGGTAAAATACTTAATTTTTGATAGAGAAAACACTTGATGATTCAGATACTCAATCTGAAGCCAGACAAAGTTAGAGAAGCTATAACTCTAACTCTATAACTCTATAACTCTAACTCTATAGCTCTAAAATCAAAAATATATTTCTAAAATACCATTAGAAAACTGGCATATAAGTGCTTTAAACTTATTAAAAATCAATGCTTATATATCAATAAAAGTAGCTATCTAAGAGCTTAGACTTCTTCAGCCACAGCAAACTGACTTTCCACAAATTATAATAAATTGCAAACAAATAAAAGTCAAGAGAAAGAAGCTGATTATAGATTCACGTTCAATTGCTGCTCTCATATCTGTCAGACTTATTCGCTTTTAACAGTCAAAAGCGGAATGAAAAACTCATAAATTTTCATTGGTTTCTGCAGTTGCTTAGCCATGCTGAACGGACTTTCCACAAATGATAGTAAGCTTGGAGCAAATATGTTGTCGTTATCCGACTGCAGCAGTTGGCAGAAACAAAACATTCTATTCAATCAAGAATGAATGTATATTCTAACAATTTTGCCTTGGGAATGCTGTCATAAATGCCGGAGCAGCAGCAAAACAACTGAAATGTCAATTGCATGCACAATTTGTATAGATATCAAATGACGCATACGCAGCGTGTGCCCAGAAAGTTGGCATATGACTGTCCATCATGTGTGGTGGTGTGCTGCGGTGCGGTGCGGTGCGTGAGTGTGTTTGATTATTGTGATTCGTGTGTCATTTTAGTCTAATGTGAATGGCCTCTGGTGTGGTATGTGGCCAAAGCGGAATCACTGAAATTAGGGCCGGCAATTGGGTCATGTTAAAAGGCTTTTGGTCTGCGCCAGGCTGTGCGGCACGGTCACTGGCCTCACTCAGTCATTGTGCAGGGCTGGGGGGGTGTGGCACATTCAACATTTTCGACTATCAAGCAAATGTCAGGCGTTTGCATTTCAAATTTGTTTTGCATTGTGGCGCATTTAATAAAATCGCACACAGCCAGGGCAAAGCAGTTAGTTTCTGTTGTTTGCCTGTCGCTGTCCGTTGGCTGCTTCGCCCACGCGGCTGCCAGCGTCCTTAATGTTGCATGTAATACCCTGGGCAGGAAAGTAATTGAAAGGCTGAAGTCCCTAGAGAGATGGAGAGAAAGTTTAGCGTAGCTACAAAATGTGTTCATGCTGAAGCAGATGTGAGCTGATAATAATAAGAATAGAAAACTAAAATTATTTTAATATTTTATTTAATAAAGTTTTCGCTTTCTTTATTAACTCATTCTGCTTGGTTAACTCCTCTTTTTGCTTTCACTTTTTCCAGGATATCTATGTAGTCTGGGCAGCTCTTATGCTCACACTCAAACGTGTTGTTGTTTAACACTTTTGTATGGACATTAAATTGAATTTAATTGCAGCTGCCGTCCGGCTCGAGACTCGTAGCTGGCTTTGCTGTTTGTTCTGCTTGTTTGCCATGCTCATTTTGCGAGGATTGTTTTCTATTTTGCAACTATTATACAAACGGGTGGCAATTCAGTTTGCTGCCTTGTTGATTTTATGCTAATTTAATGCACTTGCTCAATTGAAGCAGCAAGCTCGCCCGTCTCCTGCCGCTGGCACTGGCTCGGCCATTCTTGCCATTGATATCAATATAATTTGCTGCTAATGCGTAAGGCAAACGCATCGCAATATTTGCCATTTTCATTATGTAAATTTCGCATTGGCCAGGCGTGCAAATATTGACATTAAAGCCAAGTTAACGAGTTGGGCGCACAGGAAGTGTCGAAACCGAAACGGAACTGGCCGCTGGTTACAGACTTCGACATGGACATGAACGTAAATGTGGAACATGGACACGAGTTGAACTCTGCTCAGCTATCGTTGCTTTTGACAAGCTAACAAATTGTTTTTCCGGCTTGAGGTGCACCACATGCAAACAGGAAATTAATAAATAAAAGGGCAACAACTACAGCGACTCCAACTCTGCCCACAAGCTGACTACAGCAGACTTTCACTTTGACATCGTCTCGATGCCATCAGTGTCACCGCAGTGTCATCCACAAACAACTTTAATTTCATTTTATCTGGCTAATGCCAGCGAAATATCTCCATATAAAAGTACATATCTGATAAGGTTAAGCAGCTCTGCTGAGCTCTGTACATAAACTCTAAAGCATTTATTACACAATTGTCAAATGAACTTAGCACATTATCCTTATCATTAGCAAACACATCGTCATCATTGAATCAGTCTTATGAGCCGCATTAACGTTAAGCCCTTCCAACAGGGGAGGCAACATACATTCAGCTCGATTGCCTGCCTTCAGTGGGATTTGAGTGTGGGGACTTAGCTCAGCTTTTCAAGCTCTTTAATTTATTGTAACGTTCCGCATGCATTTTTTCAATAATCACTGCACTCAGCTACCAGCAGACATTAATTGAATTAACAATGCACACGCAGTCAGCAATGAGAAAGCGAGAGAGAGAGAGAGAGAGAAAGAGAGGAAGAGAGAGAGAGAGAGTTAACTAAACGTGAATGGCAAAATACCCTCAATGTTGTCAACGCTCTTCGCAGCTCGAGCTTATCCTCGTCGAACGCATATTGCCCTGGATATGGATCAGGGACAGCGTTGAGTGGGCCGCGTGCTTACCGCCAAGGCGGCATTGCTGTAAACTTTATGAAGCCAACCACACGCACGCACACACATCAGGCGCTGCCTTTTACCTTTATAAATAAGATAGCAGCAGGTGAGAGAGAGAGAGAGAGAGATAAGGGATGCCGAATGGATGGGCAGCCAGTTGGGCTTGCCGTTCTGGGTTTTGTTGGGTTGTTGTTTGCCGTGGCTCGTTACACTTCACTGGCTGCGCCAACATTGACAGAGATGCGATAATCGCTTCATTCAAGCCATAAGCCTTAAAGCTGGCAATGCAGCCCGTGTGTAGGCATCGCACGTTCGATTCGTGTTGAAAAATGTTAGCGAATTTTTTCACATTTGCGCTTATCCATGAGTGAAGCTGTTGCATTGCCAGCGCCAAAGAAACTGTTGCCCAAATATCCCACGCACCTGCTCAGGTATTTCACTGTTCATTCGCTCATCTATTATAGCCAGGCATTGCCGCCACGCTTGATTGAAGCTCTTCGACACTTCATTTCACTCTGGTTTTGCTTTGCATCTTCCTTCCTCTTCCCACCTGTAATCGCTTATTCTCTTTTTGATTGGGTTTTCATAAAGGGTCTCACATATTAGGGAAGCCTAATGTACTCGATACCAAATGTAATCGGGCTATGATTGGTAATCTATTCAGAGAGTATATCTCGATATCGATATTATAGAAATGTTAATTTCCATTTCTATGAAATTTCATTTGCTTTTAATTGTCGGCTATAAATTGTTTTGTAAATTGGAATTTCTTCTATTTATGCGCAATTTGGATGCAACAGTTGCGGCATTTGGCATTTTGCTTTTCTTAGACTTTAATTAACATATTTAATTTTGAGCTGCTGGAAATTTATGCAAACGCCGGCTGATGTATAAAAATAAAGTGTCGCATCAGTCAATATAGCTCGAGACTTGAGTGGACCCCGGCACACACGCAGGCGAGAGGCCGGATTAAATCGCCAGACAGGCTGTTGAATGTGCACAGCTGGCGCTTAAAGCCACCTCGATTTACATAAGACGTCGAGGCGGGCAAACACTGAAACGCAACAAGGTAAGGATGGACCCATTCTTTCCACACACACACACACACACGCACACACCCACACACACACACGCAGAAGCTTAAACTCTTCTCCCCACTCGTTTATCGATGTGGATTCGCTTTAGGCAGACGCCATTTATGTGATTGCAATATTCGCAAGCTGAAGA